TTTTAATTAAGTCATCTTCCTCTACTCCAAGAAAACCATAAGAATGGCCTTTGTGAACTTCTTAAACACCATGAAGCGCCAGCTTCGTAGCGTATTGATGAGTATTGATACTTTCTTATTGCTAAGAAATTAGAGGTAATTTTGAAGGTGATGGCAGTCTTGGTGGCTCCATTTGGAGCTTGACAACAGATATAATTGCACATGACACAACAACACAATGTATGTCTATCATCAGATATAATTACATACTGAATTATTGCTAGAAGAGCATGGATAACGGTCTCGTGTTCACAGTATCATCTTCAAAAGTAGCATAGTCAATCATCAGTAGAAGTACATGGAACTATATTTGGTCACTTAATCACCCATTATAGGTGATATCATCGAGATTTGAATGTTTGGAGAAATATTAATTCTTACATCTTGCAAATAGGTTTTGGTATGAACTTAGTTGCAGTGGTGAATTCTTTTAAAGATTTTTTTTATTTTCATTTTTAATTTTTTCCGTATTAATTATCAAGTTAAGAGAATAACATGTAGTTGATTAACTACAATTTGTTGATATGGTCATGTGAGTATAAATTTGTGACATATACAAGTAATTAGGAGAAATTAGCTCTTGTTGATAGATTTTTTTCCCTCGCATCAATTTATAATTATAAACTTTTAAATTTGTTTAATTTGTCGATTCATTAACACACCCATATGTTGATTAACATGGTTGTTCTCTCAGAGAAAATCTTTAAAATAATAAGTGAGTACCTACTATTTCACTTTGACATCTCAAAGTTTACCAATTTTTAACTTTGAAACCCCCAAAGTACTTTTTTCAATATTTTGATATCCCACTGTTTTAATCGTATTTTAGTTTCATAACCCCAAAGTACTTTTTAACACTATGATATCCCAAGGTTTCTATCTCATTTAACTTTGATACCTACATCTAGATCTATTAGATTTTTTTGTTAATTTTCTACTGCTGTTTTAGCAACTGGGCAAACTGAATCTAAATGTATCAGATGCTAAAGGCACCGTACAAATTAAACAAAAGATCTAACACAACTTGTATAGGGTATCATAGTGAAATATGATTGGAACTTTGGATATTAAAATGTTACATGAATACTTTGGGTATCGAAGTAAAATTGGATTCAAAGTTTGGGGTATCAAAGTGTTAAGAAATCCTTCAGCCTATTGAAGTAGAAAGATGTAAACTTTAGGATATCAAAGTGAAAATTATCATTTTCGTTTTAGCTCATCCTCTTATAATATTGCAAGTTTAAGGATTATTCCGTATTTAACAAGCAATTTTTCCTCTCTGCAAATGTATCCTCTAGCAATATTGTTTTCAAGGTTGATCTTTGAACTAGCATGTTTTTGTTTTTTCTTTCTTTGTATAGGTTGTGTAGCTTGAATGAGAAGCACACTCTCATCTTAAGGATGTAATGTTAGTTCATTATGGATGTAGCTAACATTGAATAAATCTAAACCATATTTGTGTGTAGTTGCTTAATTTGTGTGTAGTTGCATAATTGTTTTTTTAGGTAAATGTTAGTTCATTGCGAGATTTTTATTGTTTGATTTGTTTCTTTTTTTTGTAGTTGTTGCATTTTTGGTGAATTTGCCCATTTATGTTTGTTTTCTGTGAAGATTGTGGTGAAGGCGATGCTGATAATAGACTCTTGTATAAGCATGATGCTTGTACTATTATTGTAGAGTTAATCTCTACTCTATGTGAAGTATAAGTGCGTGCTTCATAAAAATATTAATATTGATGCATGCAGCATTAGTTGACCTTCAGAGGTTTCCCCCATAGAGTTCCTAACATGCGTCACGTGCAACGCACGTTTTGCATACTAGTGTAACTAAAATATTGTAAAAAAATGGGTACCTCTTCCAGTTTGATTCTAAACAGTTGTTCTTGTTTCATTCATTTTGGAACGATTTCCGATCCTTGCATTGTCTTAGAGGATGACCACTGTTTTTTCCGAGCCATCAATTGATGCTTATAATAATGGATTCAATATTTGTTATCTGTGACATGCTAATACTTTGTGATGACATTATTTATAATACACTCAAGCAATATTTGAATTGATTATTATTTTGAAATAATATGCATTTATCCTTCGAAAAAATAGTGAGGCGTTTGGTTGACATTTCGGAGAGGGATTAGATCGAACTCTCTAGTCTATTAAAATGAAATAGCTCTGAGACTAAATAGTAAAATATCTTATTAATCCTTAAACTTTGTGTTTCTCTTTCCCTATTAATTTCTCACATCTTATCACCGAGCTCCTGTCATACATGTTTGTCAGATCTAGCTGTACTCCGTTATGGTCATCTGCCGTGCAAGTTTAAGGAATTCTATTTTCACAAAATTCGATTTTGTCTTTCTGAACACAACACCAATAATATTAATAATGTTGTAAATATAAATACAATGAATGTGGACATTACTAGAAGAAGTCTCTTCACCTACTTGTGACTTTTAGTATTCTCTTCCACATCTATATAATGTAATCCATGGAAGATAAAATGTATTGAGGAGAAATGAAGATGAATAAAATGAGATGATCACTTTCTCCCTATCTCTTTTCTTGTTTATTTACTTTTACATTTCATGTTCGATTCTTACTTTTGATATGTGATGTATGTAGATACAACAACGAGATTACAACAAATAACAATGTGTTTGGTAATTATAATGTGATTTTCTTGTTGTGTTTTTGTAGAAAAACATAATATCATGGTGTTTTTTTATAGATGGTGGGATTTTGAAGGAAAATGTTTTGAGAGACAAAAAAGTTTAAAAGTTTGGAGATGAGTCCTATTTATAGGAGTGCAAAGGTTTCTCCAATGGTCATATATTTTCAAAGCACCAATTGGAAATAACAATCACTTTTCATCTGTCAAAAACTTTCAACTAGCCGTCATTTATTTTCTCTAAATTTCAAATTTAAAATAATTTCTAAAAATTAAATAAATAACATTATAAAGATAATTTATAACATTCCAGCTACCAGTACACGAATTTAGAAGTCTATGATTTCACCCACTTATCAAAGCATAATAATCATTAAATGCTTTTAAAAATCTAAAAGTATGTTCAAATATTCAATCTGGAACTATCTTGTTTTACAAACAACTACTAACTCAATTTACTGTAGTATGTTGAATTATTATATTCAAGAACTATAATTAATTATTAGTTAAATTAATACCAAAATATAATAAGTCTCTAATCCAAACGTTACCTTACATAAAAAAAATTAAGCCCCTAACACACACAACTCCCTAAACTTTGTAAATTCCAAAACCTCTTTGTTTCACTCTGTTATCAGGACTAGTACCGTCTAAAATTCCATGTGGCATGTGCTTCTCACATGCCTGCAAACGCAGGCATTGTATCCAGTAATCAATTTTTTTTTTTTTTCAATCAATGTCCTTACTTTTTACTAGGGCGGGGCATATTCGGTTCGGATCGGTTTTAAGCTCAATCCGGATCCAATCCGAATTTTTCGAATTCTCAAAACTCTCATCCAGATCCAGATTTTTTTCCCTTCATCCGAATATTCGGCCCAACCGAAATTCGGATCGGTTCGGATCAGTTTCGGTTTTGGACCGAATTAATACTATTTCACAAAAATCTGTCCACACCTGAGATCATTGCATATTAATTTCTGATAAAGTATCATTATTTGTTCATTTTGTCTACTTAACTTTTTTCCCCAAACAATGAAATGTGGAGCTTGTTTGAAGTAACATCATTGCCACAGCTAACAAAAAACCGAAATCAGTGAAATGAGCGCAAACCATATCAACAAGTACATATGGTTACGTAACATTCAAATATTAATTAACTATAATCAAAAGGTTATCTTTCATTTCTTGGAAAACAACTTAACATGCCTCTAGTAGAATTTGAAAGCTTATATGAGGTTTCACCGATTTTAATGCGGGCATATACGCTAGCAGGCCCAATGAAAAAGGAACTATACAATATAAACATGTATGTAAACATAACAATCAAATTACCGAGCAATTATATTGCTTCATGTTCAAGTGATGACTCACTAATAAGAAAGCTATTCCATCTGACTTCGTCCGAACCAAAAGTCCTTTCCATTTTGACCGAATTCCGAACGACGAAGTCCTTCCCATTTTGAGCAATATGAATATCCGACAAAGAACGAATTAGAAAATTCGGTTTGGTTTTTTTTCGGGCGGTTCAGGGGTTCAAACCGGATCCAAACCGGTTTAATTCGGTTCGGGCGGTTTAGAGTCTTCTTCTCATCCATTTAATCCGGTTCGGTTAACCGGTCCGCTTTTTCGGGCAGTTTTTTCGGTTGAACCGGTTTTTTTCGGTTTTTGCCCACCCCTACTTTTTACATTCGCCACTTAAGATGGACGTTTCAGAATAAATGTTCTTCTCAGGGATAATTGAGATAATTTTGGAGACACTTTTAGGTGTTATATGCTATATTACCAAGAACATTTGGTTGTTTTGCAGCCTTACCAGCTGTCAGAGTGGATCTAACATGTATCGCAAATTTAACAAAATATTTAAACGAACGAGGGCATCAAGTTAAATGGAATTGAAAATTTGCGGTGTCAAAGTTGAAAAAAAAAAACTTTACGGTGCCAAAGTGAAAATGGGTAAGCTTTGGCGAGCATTTTGTCTAATTTAAATGGTTTTGGGTGCCCCTCACAAAACCTCCCAAATTGACGGGGTGTTTTGCGAAAGTTTCCATCTCAGAAAGGTGCGAAGATGGAAGCCAGCGCGTGACGCGCTAACGCCCGAGGAGTCGAGGACCCCGCCCCAAGTCAGCAAAACCCCATCATTTTCCTGCCCCCGTCTCAATCCAGATCAAAACCCTCACCAACCTCCGTTAACAAAACCCTAAACCTCCCCACTAAAAGCCCTAGCCTTGGTCCTCTCCGATCGCCGCCATGCAATCCCTAACCCTGACCTC